GAAGTGATACGTGAGGAAGATTGAAGGTAAGAAAGAACATAAAGAAGGACTTGATTGGTTGAATTGGTAACATCAAAAAGATAATTACAGTGTTGCGAATTTTCAGGTCAACCTCCAAGAGTACCTTTATAAGATTCATTAAAAGTAATTTAAATAATTTTAAGGATATTCCTGCACATTTTTCTACAAGTTGACTTGAGAGACAAAAATGGAAAAAATTTACATTCAAGCCTTTTTTTTTTCTTTTTAAATTTTCGTCCTTCACAAACAAGTTTACTACTCAAATTGAGTACCCTATTTAGGGGTGACAATAGGGTCCTATAGGATTAAGGGAATCCCTGTCTTTCTTTGTTTTTGCGAATAATAAGAATGGGGATCCTTTGAGGATTTTTGATAAGGGTAAATTTTACTTTCCATTTTTGTTTCTCGGAAATGGGGATCCCTTCCAATTTATATTAAAATATAAATCTTGTCATCTATAATCAACTAATATTTAATTATAATGAATAAAATTTTAAAAGTTTAAACACAATTAATTAAAGTTTTTCAAATAGAAAATTAAATATAAATTATTTAAATATAAACAAATGTAAATCTAATATAAATAATTAAACCAATAGATTTATTTCTTGTACAAAAATAATAACATCTAAATTTTATCTCTACAAACAAGTGATAAAATTAAATATATATTATTCAAACATAAATAAAAATAAATCCAACATGAATAATTGAGTTGGATTTGAAATGTATTAATACATTGAATTAAATTAAATTTAAACTAAAATTAATATATATATATATATATTTGAACAAAAGAGAATTTATAAGGAAACGGGAGTAGAGCTTGAGATTTGATTGAATCTATATCATTATATTCATTACTTCCATTTAAGGGTGCGGTCATCACAACACTGGATATTAATATATATTTTTAAATTTTTCATAAAGATGAAGATTCTTATGGCCCCGCAAGACGGAAAAAATTTTCCACCTAAATTCATGGGAGGGAGAAACACCCCCTTTTCCACCGCACGCCATCCCATGATGAGAATTCCAGTGGAGGGGCACTCGCCTCCTGCACTCTCCGGCCAACACTTTCTCTTTTATTGGGCCACGCTTATTTTGGTTTCAAGAGATTGGCCTGAAAGCTTTAAAGAAGCTTACATGGCCCAATGAAAGGAGAAGTGTTGGCCGGAGAGTGCAAAAAGTGAGTGCCCATAGCACTGCTCTAGGGGGAAATTACCATCCCTCAGCCTGTCTATGTTTGACCCGAAGGTCAAAGCTCGGCAATTCTTGGGCTCCCCTCCTAACCCATAAACCCCATAGCGGACCGGGTTCAAACCCTGCTTTTAAACTCAGCCTTTTCGCCCTAGCACTCTCTTGCGGTAACTCGCCACCATAATTTGCCACATTGCCCACCCACAGCCTTCTTCATCCTCTCCCTCTGTCTCGGACTTCCCACTTTTCTCTCTCCTCAGACTACACATACCTACCTTTTCTAGAACTAGAATAGAACCGGAGGAGTTGAATTAAAACTCATCTCAAATTCATCAAAATCTATTTTGAGATAATCTCAATATTTAATTTTTTTTAATTGGTGGTTTTTTTAATGAAATTTTACAAAAATATCGAGTCTCAAATATATGAAATTACTAGAAAAAAGGTTTGAAGAGATGCATTTGGGCTTGGGAACTCCATCAAATTTTCGAACTTCTCAGACTGATGACTAGAGACCCAGATGCAACCAAAGAATAAAAAGACAAGATCTAATGCTTGAGGCTTTCTATATACTTGATTTCCTTCTTCTTGTAGACCCTCCCACCTTTCTCTTCGCTTATTTATTCTTTTGCG